TATATATATATATATATATATATATATATATATATATATATATCGGTAATCAATACCAAATGCTTAGTTTATAACATATCACATTTCAGTCTTTTACATCATCAATCATCGATCACTGTATCAGTAAATAGTATCTATGTTAGTAATATTATCAATATCAGTATTCTCAATGCCAGTTACAATAACAATAATCACTAATCAATAACAATAGTTAGTATCAGTACAATGTAAGCTATAATATCAATAACAGTAAGGAATAATCAATGATAGTAATTAGTATCAATGCAGTTTTCATATATTCAAAAAATGGTATCTTGATCTTGATCTTGTTCCTGCCCTTATAAATCCCGATTAGTCGCCCCTTATGATCTCAATCAATGAACCTCTTATAACTTCCCTTAAAACATGCCACAGTCATCTTGATTCCTTATAACTCTCAATCAGTTTCCAATCCTTTATCACTCTCATTCATCGACTCCGTCAACGGACTATGTGAATCTTGAAGTTATCACATAAGGTTACCAAATAACATATATCTAGATCTACTAGATCATCAGTACAATATAGTATATATGTATTATATTACAGTACCTATCAATCTTATTAGCATTACCTTTCAGTTCATATCATTCATTTTAATATGTCTTACAATTCAGTTCAACTTACCAATCACGATACATCATTTTTAGTATTATCATATTAAATCGCACTACATCACTTTCAACCCTATTTCAATATACATTTTTCCCTACTCATTTTACCCAAAAATTTCAAGATACAAATTTAACTGGTAAAAATGCAATAACATAATATCATATTACTTAGAATGATCAAATATATAACATATCAAAAGTTATATGATGAAAGCAAATGAAATTAAGAGATAATGCAATTTTAACATATTTATCAGAGATAAATTAGTAGAAATTAAAAATGATCGAAAACATAAGTAAGATGATAGCCACATACGACAAATAGAATCATTTTTAGAATAAAAAGGATGGATGAAAAAATCCCAACGACCCTCCTCTTTCCTCTCTCTTTCTCCTCTTTCTCTTTCCCCTCCCCCTTCTTCTCCTTCGATTCCTTCCTGGCCAAGGCAAGCCAGAGTGAGATCGAACAATTGTTTTGAGGAGATGGGTGTTGAACATCAATGGATGGAAGACATCTAGTGTCATTGAATGACTTACATAAAACAATAATTAATGAGAAATATTAAAATTAAAGTAATATTTGGCAGGCAACCAGGGGGAAGCAAGTATTGAAGGTAACTTGATGTTGTATGTTAATTGCTTATTCCAACGTTTTAAAAATCGGACCGGACCGACCGGTTCAACCGTGAACCAGTCCGGGCAGCTGAAGAAACCAGCTGGATATTGAATTGGCAAAAAACCGCTTAAAAAGCCGGTTGAACCGGATAACCGTCAAACCGGGCGATTTTAGAAGAACCAGCCGGTTGTTAAAATCGCAAATTTCAGCCGCCCATCAAAGATCGAATGGCGTAGATTTATTAGAGAAACAATTATCTCGCGTGCTGAACCATATGCCCTACGCCGCTTGTGCATTTCTTCTCTCTCACACACGGAAGCCCTTTCTTCCTCTTGCGTGCTTGGGCTGATTGAAGAGGAGACATACATCTCTGTGGGCCTGTGTTGGTGCTAGGTCGAGCAAGAGAAACATAATGGAAGTTCTGTGCGTGTGCGCAGCTTGGAGGGGAAATCTCTCTTCTTTGATCCTGCTCACGTGTACTAGAGGATGAGCATTTCTTCGTGTTTTTGGGAGGTAAGAGCTACAGTTAACATATTCATTTCCTTTCATTTTTGCTTGCTACTATTTCATAAATTGAGAACCACATTACACTTCGAACCATTATTATTTCTTTGAGAGAGTTGCCCTGCTATTTATTTGCAGTAGTCATATTCAGTCATTCTCATTGTAGAATGAAGACAAAGAAAAAAAATAAAAAAGAAATGTGTGGTTGAGCGTGGAATGATTATGTAATTTTTAAAGTTGTATTGTTGGTGAGATTTTGCATTTGCATGTTGCATGAATAAAAATGTAGCTAATTATTAGATGATATTGAGTATAGCGGTCACATTGATGTTCCCCTTAGAAAAAAAAAAATGTGTGGTTGAGCGTGGAATGATTATGTAATTTTTTAAGTTTTGCATTTGCAAGTTGCATGAATAAAAATGTAACTAATTATTAGATGATATGAGTATAGCGGTCACAAATTTGATGTTCCCCTTACTATGTGGTATTCACTATTGCAAATAAATAACATTCTCGTAGTAAAAGTTGGATTTTAATTATTTCAATAAGAAACTTGGACATCAATATTAATTATTTATTTAAATCATCTAAATATGCAATACAAAATTAATGATCATAAATTTTTTTATGCTAATTAGAGATTCATTTAGGATATTAGATTTAACATTTGACAAATTAAATAAATATGATCAATTAATATAATAATTGTATTAATTAATTAATTAATGATTGGAATGCTAATCTAATATAATTATTGATTAAACTAAAAGGGGATCAATTGACATTTAATTAAGTGAATTATTAATACAACTAATTTATCATTTTTTGTATTGACTAATCAATTGTTATATGATATCCAAAGCAAATATGCAATGAGTTAATATATGGAAGCACAAATCATTAAAAAAGAAATATAACTTAAGTTAATTAGTGTTTAAATAGAATTATGGATTAAGTTGTTTTAATTATCTAAATTTTTATTAGGCTAATTAAGTTTAATAATTTAATATTTTGTATTAACTAATTAATGATTTGGAGATATCCAAAGAAAATTAGGGATTAACTAATATTAATTATGATTATTATGACTTAAAATTTTGATTAATTACTAATTATTATGATATAAATCAAATTAGAAATAATTTATAGCTTTACGAAGGCTCTCTCCTCAAATACTATATAGCAAAAACTCACGAATAGTTAATACAGCGTTCTTCCATCCGCCCTGCCGTCCATCCTCGTCCAGAAAAGATCCTGGCCGTCCACTACAGTACCTTGCAGGCTCGTCTCCGCCACAACCCACTGCGATCTGTCTTCTCCGACGCGTTTACTCTTTTATTTTCGTCGCCGCCACCGGAAGCAATCAAGCCCCTCCATGCCCTCTCTATAATCTCCGGTCCTTCCACTCCGTTCTCCGTCAGCCATTCCCTCATTTCTGCTTACGCCAGCAAAGATGACATATCATCCGCCCGACGAGTGTTTGACGAAATGCCTGAAAGAAATTCCGTCTCCTACAGCTCCGTCATCTCCGTCATCTGCCGCAGCGGCCAAACTGAGGAGGCATGGGAAATTCTCTCCCGGATGAGAGCCGACGGATTGAGCCCCACTCGCTTTACATTCGCTCCCATCCTCTCTTCTTCTTCGTCACTCCTCCAACTTTCCCAAGCGATCCAACTCCACCCTTTGATTCTTAAATCTGGACTTCTTCACCCCGATCCTCTATCGGCTACAGCATTGCTAAATGTTATGGGGAGGAATGGGAAATTAGATGACGCAGTAAAGCTGTTTGAGGAAATGCCTGAACCAACCGTGCTAACATGGAACTGTATTATTATCGCATTCGCACAACAGGGGTTTGAGATGGATTCCATGTTTTGGTTCCGGGAGCTTATGAGGACTGGAATTGGGCTTACAGATTGTTCTTTGGTCAGCATTCTCAAAGTTTTTCGTTCCCTGAAGAGCTATGAATTTGCCGAACAGATTCATGCACTAAGCATCAAAAGTTTCTTTGGTTTGTCCATACTTGTCTCCAATGCTCTGTTAAATGCATATTGCAGTTGCTTTCCATTGGTTTCTTTAGATAAATTCTTTTCTTTGTTGCCTGCCAAGGATTTGATTACCTGGAACACATTTATAACAGCCATGGCAAAGATTGATAGGCCTGATAGAACCATGGAGCTCTTTTTATCGATGTCCTTAGAAGGTTTTTCACCTAATGAGACTACTTTCACTGGGATGCTTTGTGCATTCACTAAAATTGGCTTAGGAAAGTATGGAGAGCTCATTCATGCCAAATCTATCAAAAGAAATCTGAACTCTGGTGCTTATGTGGGGAGCTCATTGGTTGAGTTCTATGCAAAACACCACAGATTGGATGATTCAGTCACTGCATTCGCAGATATATCTAACAAGAATGTTGTTTCTTGGAATGCTTTAATATCAGGACACACAAATGAAGATGCCTTTGCTTCTTGCCTTGTGTTTATTAAAGAAATGCTGGCCTCAGAGTTTAGACCAAATGAGTTTACCTTCTCATCTATACTCAAATCGGTTTCGGTCTCCGATCTCGGGCAACTACATTCTTTCATAATAAGAATGGGCTATGAAAGTAATGACTATGTTTCCAGTTCAGTAATTACTTCTTATGCTTCTCATGGACTTTTTTCTGACGCCCTGGCTTGCACTGCATTGGTTACACCATTTCATGTTGGTTCATCGAATGCAATTGCTTGCATTTATAACAAAAAAGGTCGATTCGAAGAGGCAAATGAGCTTATTCTCCTGCAGGATTCTCCTGATAACATGTCATGGAACATTCTTCTAACTGCGCATGCATACAAGGGCAATTATTTGGAGGCTTTCTGGTTGTTCAGGAGAATGCAAGTATCCGGCTTCGTCATTGATAACTATACCGCTGTGTGCCTACTAAGCATTTGTTCGAGGATAAGCAGCCTTGACCTGGGTCGCTGTTTCCATGGGTTGATCCTGAAAGCAAATGCTGGGAGTTGTGAAGTATTTGTTCAGAATGTATTGTTGGACATGTATGCTAAGTGTGGCAGCCTTGAGAGCTGTTTGGCTGTGTTTGAAGAAATGCCTGAGAAAAATCTCGTGTCGTGGACGGCTTTGGTTTCAGGGCTGGGACTTCATGGGTTCATTGTTGAAGCACTAGAAAGGTTTCAGCAGATGGAGCAAGAAGGATTTGTGCCGGATGGCATCACATTCTTCGCAATCCTTTGTGCATGCAGACATGGTGGGTTTGTGGAAGAAGGGATGAGAATCTTTAATAGGATGAGGTGGGTGTATGGAGTTGAGCCAGAGATGGACCACTATGTATGTGTAGTTGATCTATTATGCAGCTTTGGTCGTACAAAAGAGGCAGAGGTTGTGATCAGTGGAATGCCCTTCCAGCCGAACACCATCATATGGCGTGTGTTTCTCCAGGGATGTAAGAAATATTCCTTTGCTTGATTATGAAACTTATTGGATAGTTTTATTTTATTTTTACTTTTCTTCTTTTTGCATGCTATTTGGTTGTTCTTTGAAGCATAATTTATTATTGATGTTTTTGTATTCCAAGAATTGATTTTTACTAGAAGACCGTTAAAAGTCAATATTAGTCCTTTTTTTGTGATTTATATTTATATTGTTTGGGGGTTTGGACTTAGACACATCTTTTGGAATGAAATAGTAGAGTATTTTACCTTTCATTCCCTTTTTTTCTTCATTTGGAAAAGCTGATGTTTGATGACATTATTGAGCTCTTTTGTGTTTACTTGATTTTGACTCATGCTTCTTCTCCCTCCCATCTATTACTAATTGTATACTTAGCAGTATTTTACAGGCTAGGATTGATTCCATTTTTACTGTTATTATGGTATTTTGCATAGATCCTGGTGAGTTTAGGTGAAAGATTGCTAATTGTCAATGGAAATAAGAAATTGGTAAGTGCTTTCTCCTTCCATAAACAAATTTGTTAATTGTTCTTTTTTTTTTTGCAATGATTTGTGAAAGGTCACCATCTTAGAAATTTGGTAAGAGGATGAATGTGGGCAAGGGCCTTTGCTAAATCTCTATAAACCTCTTATTGCTAAATCTCCATAAACAAATTTGTTAATAGTTCATGGTTGTTTTTTTTCTGCAATGATTTGTGAAAGGTTACCATCTTAGAAATTTGGTAAGGAGCTTGAGATTGAATGTGAGCAAGGGCCTTTGCTAAATCCCTATAAATATCAATTTACATTTTCCTATAAACCTCTTATTGCTTTAGATTAATTTACTCTTTGACTTCATTGTTATTTTTTTGTACTTGTTCTCCGCTCATCTTCTCACATGCAGGTGTAAATTGAGCAAGCTTTTTGTTACTTGTAAACTTGAAGTTATTTCAAATAGCCTCACTTAACTCTTGATTTGAGCCATGGTCCTCCAATCTTCAATAAATCTCAGTCCACATATTTGCCAAGGAGACTACTTGATTAATATCATAGTATTCTATTTAAAGTCAATATAGTTACTCTTATATATGCGGATGTTGATGATGCTAGAGAGTGAGACCTATGAAGAGTAAGAGAGAACTGGATCACTCCTTGTTGCACATGATTGCTTGATGAGAGAGAAAGAGGGATTTGTAGCAGAGTAGAAAGAAAGAAGGGAGAGGGATAGAGAGAGAGAGGGTCTAGGTCTTAAGAGAGTATAATGAGAGGAAATGAGAATATGAAATGAGGAGAGATGTTTTAGAGTAGATACGGTCTTAAGAGAGGATAATGGTAGAATAAGTGGAGTTTTGGGGATGAATAAAGTCATAAGTGAAGTTGTGGGACTGGAGAGGATATGGGTTTAGATGAGGAGTATCTCATTTGAGTCTTTTTACAATCGAACTTGTACGATACAACATTGAAAAAGCATTAAAAGTATCGTTCTTATTCAAAGGACGTTGATGATGTTTATTATAACAAGATGTATGAAAGAAAGAGATCGGGCAAAATTTTAATTAGCTTGAATAGGTTACAAATGATACAATATCAAACAAATCCACTCTCGCTCAAAATTAGCTTGAAGTTATTCCATCTAATCTTGATTATAAATTGTCTTAATATGTTATTTTATTTTAGCTAAACTTGCCTCATATATTTTGATTTAAGGTGGATCCATGCCAAAAAAACATTCAATTTTGATGAATTGTTTATCTTTAATAACAAAATCTTGTATGCTCACAAACCTAAAGGTTGAGCTAATTTCAAAGATTCTACAAGTCTAAGGAGCGAACCTTTACAAATTTTCGTGCTCATAAACTTAGGGGTTGAGCTGGTTTTATTAACATACCTAAAGGATTGAGAATTAAATTCAACAAGCTTAAGGGCCGAACCTTACATGCTCATAGACCTAAGGTGTGAAACCTATTAATTAAAATAAGCTAAACTCTTTCGAGGCGCCTTTTGGTGTAATGGTCGAAATTTCATTAATAAACTCCTTAGTTAATCGTACTCAACTCGGAGAAATCTTGGGATGGGTGATGTCCTGGGAAGTTACATTAACAAGAAAAATTGTGAGGCCCTTAGTCCAAAGTGAATAATATCTTGATAGTTAAGAGTTTGAGTTGTTACAAATAGTATGAGAGCAATATACTAGTAAGAATATGAGAACTATCATATAAGACAAAATATTGTGCCATGGGAGCCACCTCTTGAACACTATATATTACAAATTGCTACAGGGTGGAAGTCATCACTTGAACTTATAAGAGACACATCTAGAATTTCATCTGCATGGTGGATGAATTTGGGGTAAAGATGCTAACGATGATATATGTTACTTAAGTGAGAGAGATTGTGAAATCCCTTAAATAAAAAAAGCTAAACTCTTAAACATCGATGCGCCTTTTGGTGTATTGATTAGAATTTTATTAAGAAATTTTGTAGTTAAGCGTGCTCATCTCGGAGAAATCCTAAGATTGTTGATCTCCTGTAAAGTTACACCAACAAGACAAAACTGTGAAGCCCTTAAGCCAAATAAGACAATATCTTGATAATTAAGAGTTTGAGTTGTTACATAAGGGTTGACATGTTTTCCATCAACCTACCTAAATGGTTGAAAACTAAATATAACTTCAGTAAGTCTGATGATCGAACTCCTAAAAAATTTTATATACTCACAAATCTAAAGGTTGAGCTACTTTAATCAATCTAAAGAATTGAATGAAGGGAAAAAGGGTAACGATAAATATGAATGCTAAAATATGTTCAGACAACAAATTCGTTGGGTGATAATTTGTTAATTAAGAACATTATATAAAATAGAAAAAATTTCGAATAGTTTCACAAAGCAACGCACCTGTCTCGGCCGGCCCCATCTCGTATGATCTTCCCTAACAATGTAACTCTTCGTTCTTGTAACTTTCCCACACAACATAAAACTCCCTCCAGCCGCCCGTGATCTGGGCAGGAAGGATTTAAAATTCAATGACCCGAGTTGTTGATCTTTGATCTAGGTGGTGTAATTTTCAAATTGAAGATCCTATCCCGTTGATTTTTTTTTATCTAGGTGGATGATTTCTATTTTGAAGACCCCAATCCATCTTATCTTTGATCCGGGCGAGTAGGAACCATGACAAATGTCATCTCTACCTCTCCTTGCGGAGAGGGGATGGTGTGAGGCTGCTGAAATTATCTCAGGAGACTACCGTTCAGGAATCATTGGAGAATAATTTTTTATTAATCTAATAATTAACTTATTAATTTAAAATAAATTGAAATCTCATTTAATCAATTAAACAATTAATACAATTAAACAATTTAATTTAATAACTAATTAATCAATTAAAACATTATTTAATTAATTAAATTAATTAACCAATTTAAAATGTCTCTAATTAATTTATAAATTAAATTACAATAAAATGAAATAAAAATGCAACAAAAAATGTTTGCACTAAACAAACCTAAAGTACAAACTCACATCAACTAAGCTCAATTTCCTAAAACTAAAACACCAACTCTCAAACCAAACAAACTAAAATAAATCTTCAAAAGAAACTCCAAAGTTCCTCTTGTGCAAGCTCCAAAACAGCATGAACTCCTGCAAATAAACAAACAATAAAAATAAGTACTGTAAATCAAAATTACAGTGCAAGAAAAGAAAAGAAAAATAAACTACTGAATTAATTGGAACTAAAAGCAATGCTGAAACGAGAAAAACAAACTACTGAAATCGAAAACACTGGTGTAGCAATAGTAAAGAACTACAAACTAAAGTCACCGCTATCTAATCTACCCTACCCAAACAACCATGCAACTTTCAAACAAAGTCGTAAGACGTGTCTAAATGAAATCAGACCACTTCTTAAAGCAGAAGCCGTAAGACCTACCTAAATAATCAAGCAACTTTCAATGAAAATCGTAAGACTTATCTAAATGAAATCATACAACTTTTAAATGCAGAAGCCGTAACACCTACCCAAATAACCAGACAACTTCCAATGGAAGTCATAAGACCTATTATTTGGGGGGCTTCTAAAAGAAGTATCAAACCCCCAACCAAAACCTAAGGGCCACCTCACTTATTGAGCTAGGTTGTAAGACCAATCAACATGCAACTTCCAAATGAAACCGTAAGACCTACCTCAAAACCAAACCTAATGGACCACTTAGCTTATAGGGATAGGTTGTAAGACCCACATTCAGGCTACTTCTAAATGCATAAGCCGTAAGACCTACTCAAATAACTAGACAACTTTCAATGAAAGTCTTGGGACATGTTCTTTGGGGGGTTCTAAAAGAAGTATCAAACATTCCATTCATTCAAGAAAGATTGAAGCTTTCCTAACAGTGTTTTCCCATCATGTGGAGGAGGCAGGCATAAAATTAAAATTAATAATATTTTTTCTATAGTCGCCAATTATTATCAATGAAATAAACAGTCAAACAAATAAAACCATATATATTGATTGAAGTCCATAGGTCTGAAGTCAAACTAACTCCGCTTGTACATCTAGATAACAATGATTTAATATTACTTTTTTCCCTAATAAACAATTTCTTACATCCACTTCTTGTTGTATTTCCAAAAACTATATGTAGGTCAGGGCGGAGATAATGCTTTAGTGCACGTACACCGACCCATTCAACACACTGAAATGGTAGATCATGAATAATAATGCAAACTGTGAGTAAATCACAAAACTCTTGGTGGTCAAACTTATTATCTATTAAGAAAATGGGCGAAGTAGAAGTTGACTGCAAAATTAGCTGGCCTATGTCACTGGTGCTTCTCTTCTTATAAACTTGCAGATGGCATTTTAAATTGCTAATCCATTTTACTATCACATTGGTAAATATCACCACATTTTTTTTGAATTTACATCTTTGATTCCCATCAGTAGCTAAGGCTAACATCTCATAATGACCCTATACAGTTGAAATTATCCTTCTTTTCTTCTTAAGAACTTTATCCCCATCCTTCTCTTTCCTATCAATGCCACCAATATCAGCATCATCAAATTCATTAGTTTCTATGTCAATTTCATTTTGACCACTTACAACTCGTACATTTTCAATAAAAGACATACTTTCAACAGCAGTATTCGAGTCTTATATTTATGATCTAAAAATGAAATTAAACATAATTACGAAGGATAGTATACATTCATTCTCTTGAATTATAATTGGTTGATGCAAATGATAATGATGAAATCACGTCTCTTTACTGCTTCATAATT